CAAGGCTGGAAGCACCATGGGTTTGGGGCTGATCCCATCGAGGGAGGGCTGGCTCACCCCACGCCTTGCTTTGCTCAAGAAGCTTTGCTCTGGCACAGGCAAGTTCAGAAACACTACTTCATTTAAAATCTGGCCACAAACCTTTATTACACAGTGCTAAACCTTGATTATTTTGCCTGCATCGCTGTCCTCTGGGAACATTTTATATACACATTTGAATTAAGTGATTTTTTTTTTTTTTTTACAATAAGATATAAAAAAAGAAAATGTACGTCGCTCCTCTCTCTTTCTCTGTATGAAACTGGAAGAGTTGATAGTTTATCTGTCATATAAATCAGGTAACATAGAAAATCATTGCATCTTTTCTCTGTCGTATCTACTCAATATCTATCGCTCTGACTTTTATTCTTATTGGAGATCATCAAAACATTAATTAAAAGCCTGGTGATCAAACAGCCGAATATTTATTATTCACGTCCTTGCTTATTAACATGTGGCATATTGATACACCACGTATCCAAGCTGTTTATGCTCTTGCACTGCAATAAAGCAGCAAGAATTGTTACCTGTGTACACTGCTTTGAGAGATTTATTCAGAAACCAGAACTCCCTCCCTGCCCCCATACATATCAAAAAAAGCCATATCACCTTAAAAATATATGCTTTATTTTAAAAGGGGGAGACAAAATTAGCATCTTTTTGGAACATAGTATATAAGAATTCCAGTATGTCAGTCTCAGGTGTTTTTCCAGGCCTTTATTATTTCAGTTGAGAAGGAGGACACTTAACTTTAAAAATGGCTGTCATTAGTGCAATAATAATTGTCGGTTTAAAAAAATCTTTGAGAATCCACTAACAAACCTACCTAGTAATTACTTGTCAGTGCAACTTCATCATGATTTTTATTACCTACTTGTGAAAGTATTTACAGGACTGACCTCCCGAGCTTTTGTAGAGATCATGGAGGATATAGGAAGTCATGTTTAAAATCAATAATTATATATTAACACAATAGGGGTTGAGGCCTTCCAAGCCAGCTTTGCAGGCTGTGGTGCCAGCTCACACTTCTGCAGGGCAATTACTGTTTTCCTAAGTTTTAGCCTCAGTTCTTTCCTCACTCATATGCTGACAAAGCGCCCTATTTGCCACTGATCCAAGCCTTTGTGCCCATGGAGCAGCTCCCCACATGTGGGGAGGTGTGCAGGCACAGATGGGCTTTGCACAGAAAACAAACAGCAATCTGTGATAGAAGGGCTGAGTACAGAAAAAGCCTGAAAAACAATGGGGTTTGGGGCAGCCCCTGGGTTAAGTGCTGCCCAGAGGGATTTGCTGTTAGGGTGCTTCTCCCTGCTAATTACCAACAGCCTGACCCAGCCTGCAGTCTGTCCCCGGTGCCAGCTGGCCCTGGGATGAGTCCTGCAGGAAGAAGACACTGCAGCCAAACCCACTGAGCAAATAGCTGGCCAGAGGTGGCAGACAGAGGTTTCCATGGACGTTTCTTCCCAGCACAGTGGGGCTCTGCTCAGTGCTTGGGGACAGGCTGGGCTGAGGCCATGTCCCCATCCCCATCCCCACCGTAACTCCAGCTGGTCCAAGTGTTCCTGCGAGGTGGAGGTGGCTCCCTGTCACGCAGAGCTTTTGTCTTCTCAAACAGATATACGATGCAATTTATATTTAAAATTCTCTCCATAAAGACAGTATTGATCACAGATTCCCAATCAATACATTGCAATTACAACAGGCTTTAAGGGCCATCTGTCCCCAGGCAAAAGAACTGATATAACCACCTCTATATTTTTTGAAAAACCACTACCGCTGCGTGCCCATCCTCCTGCACAGCCCGATGCATCATTTTTGCTCCCAGGAAGAGGTGTTTGGGAGCTCCGTAGCTGTAATTCCTCTTGCCTGCCCCACACGAGGTGACAGGGGACGGCTTCTCTTTGGGCTACAAAGCCACTATGGAGTCCATGGCACCTCTGCTGGCTGCTTTTCCCGCTGCCCTCACACGTGAGCCACCCATTGCCTCTTTCTTTCTTCCCACCCTGTCTGCTGTAGGAAATGATCCTCCAGACGTTACTGAATTTCTCTAAAACAAATAACTCTTCAGGAACATTGCTGAACAACTTGAGTTGGACACCAGGAGGTACAAACTGACTCTTTTTTATGTACGATACTCTGGGCCACGGACAGAAACATTGTGAATCTTATAAGGGATAAAACTACACACGTCTAACGGTAGATTTCAAGTCATGTGTCACCAGATTAAGGAGCTGCTTCATCAGCACCTGAAACCAACACACTCCTTTCTGTTGATGGCACTGAATGAATACCCACTGCAGAAAGAAATGCTGCCTGCAGTTTCCTTTTCCTTCTTTTCTTAAAGCAGTTTCCTGCAGTAATGGCAGCGCACAACAAGTACACAGAGCGTAGGGTTTTGTTCTCCAAATCTCTTTGGAAGGAAAACGAGGGGATACAAAAGCAGGGACAGCAGAAGCTGCAGACAGACCTTCGCAAGCGACCGTGTGCCAGGAGCCATGGTCACATTCTGAATGCAGCTGCGTGGTGTAAACCCAGAGTAACTGCTTCCTTTGGGTTCGGTTTATTCTCACAGACCCGAGTCAGTCTGCATTCCTAACCTCGGCTTCCTCATGTTTAGAGGGTTTTGAAAACAGCTTCAGCAAACAGTCTCCAGGTTGGTGCAGATTAAATCTAAGGCACAGCCTGTGCTTCAAAAGTTGTACAGTTATGTCAGGGAAGTGACTGCAAAACCTTCCTGTCGAGGTGACTGCGCTGGTAGGAGTCCCAGTGTAAAGCCAGTTGTACCACTAGAAGGCCCTCACAGCAGGACAGCCCGTGAGCATTGCTGGACCACTGTTACATCAGTAGAAGCACTTCTATCCCAGTACACTTCAGCCTGCGCTTTGGCAGCTTGGTGTTTTTTGGCAAAAATATTAAGAGTAGATAAAGTTTAAGCTGGCGCTGCTGTTTTTGGTACCATAGTGTCTGTACAATATTTTCTTGGAGAGTATTTTCAAGATTAAAGTAGCAGCACCACTGGGCCCAACCGCAGTCATCAACCTCCAGCTTGTCCTCACTCACAGCTCATGAAACAGCTTCAGGCTTTTGTAGAAAGCCCTGTTGGACTTTCCACGCTCACCCCAGGCAGGTCGGGTGGCTTTGCTGAGGTCACACCATCTAGCTTTCCTCTGTTACTTTTTTGGATGCGAGTAAAGACAACAAATTCTTTCCACAGACATCTCAGATGAGAAAGCAGGAAATAAAGATGGACGTTTTAAAACGAAAATAGAAATAAAACCTTGCTGAGTGCAGCCACATCGCAGCGCAGCCATGGCGTTCCTCCCCGCCGGGTCCCTCCATAGCTGTGCCCATCTGCACTCAGCACCCAGCGAAGCTGCAGATCTCTTCAGGATATATAAAGCAGCGTTTTGGCTTTAGAACACAGCAAATGCTGGAATGTGCAATACAGGTTGCAAAGGCTGACAAGCTAAACAGTTCTTATTTGGCTCAGGGTACTTAACTGTCATATGTCTCTGGTACGAGATGCCCTCCTGCCCGGTGCTCAGGCACTGCTTATTTGTCCTTTCCTTTCTTGGGGTTTTTTTTGGTATTTTTTTTTTCCTGGTGCATTTGTTTTGTTTTGTTTTGTTTTGTTTTTTTATTATCTTGAATACGTCAGCACAAACCGTAAGAGATCCAACCCCATTTTAAATCAGAGCATAGCTGGCCATCATGGTAAACCTGTCAGGTTTGCTGTGCCCCAGTGCTTGCGGTGTGTGGTACGTTCCCTATTGGCAGCATCTTCAGGTTACATACATGACCCGTGGTGTTAGTTTTAGCATTTTGTTTAAAATAATAATAATAATTAATAAAATGAATCAAAAACTTATTTCTCTTTAAAAAAAAAAAAAATGTATATATTACAAATCGCAAAATGAAAGATTAAAGGCATTTTTTATATTAACAACGCAAACGGGATTCCTTTCAAAGAGGACTGACGGGGACTTCTGTGTAGAATCTTGCAGTGCTGCTGCACTGATTTTGTAACGAGCGCATGCTGTACAGAAATCATTGCCTGTGCACCTGGGCGGAGGGGCGAGCTGCTCTTCGTGGTGCACTGCAGCTTGTTGGGATGGAAAGTTACGCCTTCGATGCATTTTTATACTGTACATACTTGTATATATTAACTATATTGCCATGTTCTGAACACAGATTTTGTTATATCTGCTTGTTTCTGTTTCCTACAAAAATTGGTCCATAACAGGGGATTTTTATTTTTATTTTTTTTTCTCTAGAAAATATGCTTGTAATTTTTGTTTGTTTCTCTTCTCGGTCGTCACCTTTAATGGCTCATACAGGAATTAGGGATGGGTTTTTGGAGGAACTGAGAGAAGCAAGGCTGTGTTTGCATGAGAGCTGCCCAACTGCTGGCTGTACCGGGGGGTGGGGGGAGAGGGGAAAGCTCACTCAAGTTTTGCTTTTAAAGCATGCTTTGTCCCATGGGAAAACTCATACACATACAATTATTCTCTTTGTATTTTATCTAATAGTGCCTGAATATTTTTTTTTTTTTTTAATGTCTTCTTGGAGGAACTATTCATAATTGTCAAAATTTGAAACATTAGCTTAATTTCGTTTTCATGACCTCTCATTTCTCCCCCTTATTTATTTTGTTGCTGTTTATAATGGGCCCCAAGGCCGTTTCTGACATCGCAGCGTTCCTCTTCCACATTAAGGATGTTTTTAAAATGACTAAGATTATTGAGCCAACAGGCTGCTTTAATCAAAACCATGTTTCACTCCGTTCCGATGCTACCAGCGGTCGGCGGCGCGGAGCCGCTGTGCTGGAGGAGCATCCCACCTAGCGGTGCTGCGCAGCACAGCGCCCGGCCTGCTGGCAGCGCTGCTTCCAATTCTTTGCTTATTACCACTGACGTAAACGAAGCAAATTGAAAATGTTAATGACTTTTTTTTTTTTTTTTTTTAATATATATATATATATTCGGTTGATTGCTCGATAAATTTGTATAATTTATACTAGAGGAGATTACCGCTTTTATTGTTTTGGGTTCCCCCAAACCAATTATTAACAATCAGGACTACGTATCTCATTAAATTTAAATCAGGTCAAACCTATTTATCGAAGGCCTTTGCTGATGTGCAGGACGCCTGGATTCCAGCACTTGTAAGAAGTATTTCTGTGGATGATTCCAAAGCACCGAAATCTCCCAGTAGTGATTTCGTGTCCTGTATTTTTATCGTGGCAAATGGTTGTTAAAAAAAAAAAATCCCTCAACTTTACCACAGAAAACATTACTTTTTATGCCCAGGGATTTTTATTTTTATTTTTTTAAATAAAATCACTGCAGTTTTAGAACTGTAATTAAAGCCCTGAATAATAGATCACACATCTTTATCTGTTGTGTTTAAAAGGAAAAAAAAAAAAATAGCCCAAACTGTTCACATAATCCTGAATGCCTCATTTCCATAAAAAAGGTTTCTATACATATATTATTTACATTTTTAAACATGGTAATTCTTTCCTTTGTGGCATAAAATGTCTCTTTTCCACTGCAGCTATTGGAAAGCGACTGCTCACATCTGAAATGTTATCATAATTTGCATCAGGAAACCCAACTGCAGACATTAAGGACTTGGGTGTGTTCAATTATGATTTTGCTGGAGGCTGTCCCTCATTTTAATGCTGCACTCATTGAACTACCTTTCTGAAATCTAGCTGATACGGTTCACCATAGACATGCTTCACAACATCATTAGCTTTGCAAATGGCTTCATTTCAGTCGATGCAGACTTCAGTTTTGGCCAATTGTAAAATGGAAATTTGAAAAGGAAAAAAACAGATGCACTTAAAACATGAAAAGAATTATTTATATGATAAAAATATATTTAGATTTTCAAAGCACAAGACTGAACAGAAGTGCTCTTTTTATGCTTTCTGAAGATGTTACTGTTAAAAGTCTTTCTACATCAGGCTTAATAAATCTGTAATGACATTTGATGGATTGATTTTTGTGTGGGTTTTTCTTTTCTCTCTTTCTTTCCCCCCTCCTTTCTTTCTGTGCGGAGAAGAAAAGGACTGACCTGGAGAGGCAGTGGGAGTGAAAACCACAGGAATGTGCCCGCTTTAGTGAAACTCACAAATGGTTCAGAGCAGTCTCCCTTCCCTTAGATAATAATCTTAAATAAGAAAGAAAAAAAAAAAGAAAATCTAGCGACACCATCCCGAGTTTGTTTCTGCACATCCTTCTCCTTCCCTCATCTGGCTCCTCTGACCACTCCATGCCTGGGTTATTTATGATGTAATCTACAGCGAGGCATTGGGCCGCTGTCACACAAATCCAGGGCTCGCTAGCCATAAAGCAGGCATGATTGAGATACCAAATACCCTTCTCTCAACTGCTCCACCTCAGACGGATGGCTCTGTTTAACACTTAGTTTCCCTAAGCACTCCCTTGCTCCCCGTAACGCTCCCTCTGACGCGGGCGATGCCTCACGCCGGAGCTCAGCAGCTCGCGCCGATGCCGCACGAGCCATCTCTGGTTATTTACTGCAGATGAGGCCAGGCCAGCCGCGGCAGAGATTCCCGAGACTCGCACGCATTAAATTTTGATGGGCACAGTATCACCTGTTGGCTGCATGTAATTGCCATCGCTCCTCCTTGGGGTGATAAAACAGGAGACGACCTGGAGCCAGCTGTGCGGAGGCAGCGCAGAGCCCCGGGCACCGCTCCTGTTCCCAAGCTCTGCTCGGGGATATCCAGCCAGCACCGTCCTTCCCTTCCTGCCCAGCGCTCAGAGCCAAATACTGCTGCCCCACCACGTTCCATCCGCAGCCCCAAGGCCCACCCTGCACCCAGGGACCAAAGGACGAGGGCCGCTCTCCCACTCCTGCACTCTGGGTCAGTCATTAGCAAGTGCAGTTAGGAGCCAGCGCCTCAGATTCTGCAGTATGGGTTGTTGTTGTTTTAAGTGATTTTTATTTTTTTAAAGGAATATATTGCACACATCTCAAGAACCCCCTCTAGGGTAAAATAAAAAATATATATAGATGGCTAAAATAACAAATGAATCATAAAACTTAGAGATGGAAAAGGACTATTAGATCATCCAATTTATCTTGCTGTCTGCCAATACAGGTTTGTTCCCTGCAGACCGCTCCCCGGGGCTTTGTCTCGCCTTTCTGACTTAACTCCAGCACTCAGGGTCCTCTGCCACTTGCTTTCCCAAGTAGCACAGTTAATGCTTTAGGCATCTTTGATAGGTTTGGGGCCAACTCCTTGCCTGAGGGGAGTCTCACCTGCACGGCGCACAGCCCTGCTGGAATGTGCCCCAGCTCCTGCACGGCACCTGGCTGCAGGGTGAGCCCATGGGCAACCAGGGGCCAGACCTTGTCCATCCTGAGGGCTGTATCCCCTGAGCAGGGCAGGGCTCTGTATGCACAGAGACAGCTCTGAGTTACTCTGAGGGTTTGAACTCGGATCTTTTTTTAATTATTGGTGATACACTCCAACAGAACAAACAAACAAACTCAACCCTCCCGCTTCTCAGGTGGCTCTTTTGGCTACAGGGCAACTTTGAAAGCTGTTTCAGTTGCTGTTTTTGCTTTCATTTCTGCCACTCCTTAAAACTGTTTTGATTTAATAAAAGTTAAACGTTTTCATAGGAGAATCAGGTGAGGTGGCTCGTGATCCTTTTATGTACAACATGTATATTCCATTATTCAAAAATTCAGGAATAAATTTCATCCCATCTCCCCCTCCTGATTGCTTTATAGTGTAAAGATGGGCTGGCAGTGGAGTCCAGGCACTGAGCAGTGCACGCCAGCAGGGCCACCAGGCCCAGAGCCCTTCCAGTGCTACAACCATTGCTGATGGTCCACATTCCTGAGCCAGCCCAGGTTGTGTGACACAGGGTGAGTTATGAGCAGGATTTAATGGGCAGAGGACACGGCACTTTGGGGCGGTTGACTGTCACTGATCTTCATTTTCAAAGCACTCACCCAGTTCCTGAATCTGGCTTTTGCAGTGCGAGTTCAGCAGTGCAGTGTAATCATTGCTGCGTCCCAAAACTGAGCTTTATAACTGCAGAGCCAAAAATCACTTGCTATTTAAAAAAAAACACAACCCAAGCCTTATTTGTAACAGGACATTCAAGTACTTCCATTTAGTTAACAAGAACTGAACAGCATTACAAGTGCTGAAGAAGTTCGTTGGCTTGTTTCTCTGCAGTAACTAATGAAATATCGATAGGTCTGGATACACTCATCCCAGAATTCACTGTGGGTAAATAAGGAAAACAAGCAGCCCCTGAGCTCAGACAAACAGCAGGACTGTGGGGTTAGGGAAAGGGAAAAGCCAACGTTTGATATACAAGTCCATCTGTAAACAATTGTACTAATGCTTTAAAGATGGTCAGCATAGGCTTTTGGAGTTGAATAGGAAAACAACAGTTCTTGTTGGGAAAGAAATGTTTCAATCTGAAAATAAACTCTGTCAAAACGTCCAAGCCCCACATTTAGTTTCTGCTAAAAGAGTTTTACAAGATCCAATTTGAATAGAAACGTTGAGTTCAATTACCTTTTAACTTCAAGTATCAGCTGCAGAGGAAGGGAGAAAAGAAATGTAAACATAAACACAGCAATAAATGTAGATCAAAAAAAACAGAAGTGAAGAAACTTGAAATCTTATTGAGTCCACTTTTGTTTGAGGCCCAGAGCAAGCAAACAACCTTAGCAGCACAAGGGCACTGTGACAGTGCCTCAGTTAGATCAGTTAGAGGATGATTTGCTCTAATGTTTACCAAAAAATTGAGGCTGGAAAACATGTTATTTATACAATAAAGACAACCGAAGAGCAGAGCCATTTCTCCTCATTTAACAGAAAGCAAAACAGACGTGAAAGTAACTCTCTCTGCTGGCTGAAATGTTTTGGGACTGCATGGAAGTTCTGTGAGCAGTTATGGAAAGAACACAGGAGGAAAAAAATCTGACTTTGAAAATGTTATTCTGAATTAATTCTAATTTCATTTAGTTGCTCTGACCTTCTATTTTCCTGAACAATTTATGCTCAACTCTGACATTAAAATGTCACTGAGTTTGCTAAAAATTGCTTTATTTAGAAATGTTTTTAATTAACTTTTTGAGCAAAGATATATGCATATATATAGATCAGAACTCTAAACTGAAATGTCATCACTCATGACAAAATGAAAACTCTTTTTACAACTTGAAGGGCACTTTTTGCCACACCAAAACCATCTCCTGGTTTTCCAGAGCTGCCAGGACAGCAGGCAGCCCAGGCCCTGTGGCCAGGCAGGTAAGGCTCCTCCTGCCACCACTTCTCCAGTCACAGGAATGAAGTCACACAAGGTTCCTTGCAAGCGATTATTCACAGGATGAAAAATTAGTAATTGCATTAGGTCATTGCATTCATAGAGGATGAATGAAGACATTTCATATGTGTAAAATTAGCTTTAAATGCCAAAGTATTGCACAATTATTAGACCAGATTTGCTCATGAAAATATTTCTATATTAAAGATTCACCCAGACAAACGTCTCAGTGATGTGTACCGTGTTATAAAATGCATCATTTAATTATAAAAGCAGTCAAAAATAATGGTAGCCAGCAGCTAAACTGTGCTCTAGATCTGCTCTGTAGCAACACATTTCAATAAATATTGATAGGGTGAGAAGAGGAAGCCAGAGACAACACTTGCACATCTGCAGCTTTTCTTTGGCTCATCTCACTCGTTGGTGAGGTGTGCAGGTTACACAGACTCGTGCTACATGAACTATTTAAATAGGTCAGCATCTTCCTGAGTGCGTGGTATTTTTCAGGGCATCTCCATTTGTTTTATTTCCACCTACTTTTGTGTAACTGCTAATTAATTTAGGAATCCAAAGTAAGCTTGGCCTTAAGATATGTAACACTTCTATTGTAGCTGGTTTGTCTGTCTGCTGCCTGAGCTCTCCTCGTTAAGCTCATTTCAGTATCTCCTCTTTGCTAACACTGCCATCTAACGCTCAAACATTGAGCTCTCCTGAGGAGGAAACAAGATTCTCTTTTACACATCATGTTACCTATTAGTCAAAATGCTGCTGAAAGCCATCCCTTCGTCCATTCTAGAGCTCCTACCATTGTTAATAAGAACAAGCCAGTGGAGTAAAAATGAATATTTCTAGGAGAACCCACCCAGAGTGAAGGCAACAGCCTTTCCACCTCTCACAGAAGGTGCAAGGCCTCTTCCTCTAATGGAAGGGAGATGCAGCTTTGAGACTGAGAGAAGAGCAAGGAGTTAACTCATTCATTTGCACTGAGCCCTGATGACACATTAAAGAGCTGGGGATTTTGAAGAGTGAAGGCCCTGGAAAGTACATCCTCCTTGGAGAGGCCCAGAATTTTATCACAGTAAAAACTTCCTTCTTGAGCAAAAAGTTGACCATCCATGCCAAAGCAGGCCCAGACTTTTGGCTTGAGATGGGGCCTCCGCAGACATTTCATCACCAGTTTCAAGGCTTGTGAAGAGTTCCGAGGCCACAGAACCCAGCTAAGCCTGGGTCACAGTACTGAGTATTACAAACCACAGATAACCTCCACAGAAACAGAGGGAGGAAATCTTAAGAGGAAGCAGTATTATCTAAATCCAGGATTTTCCGGTTCCATACTTCAGTTCTGGGCCAAGCAGAAATATGATACTTTGCTTTCACATCCAACACATGCAGAACAAATGTGAAGCTGACGTACCTGTCCTAAAGATACAGCTCGCTTATAGTAGGTACAGTAATAAAACTGAGAACAAGTTGTAAGGGAAGATACCACAGGCTTACATTTCTCTCTTTAAATGAAGAGATGCTGTACTTTTGAGTCTGTGATCAGAACAAGATCAATACGGCAGTCTAAAAAGCATTAGAGACAAAATATCTTGTTTTGTAATACTATCCCCAAGCCATCAGAGCTCTCTCTGGAGTTACACACCAACAGTTCCTATTAACTACTGATTTCTGCAGTACTTTATACGTCCCAGTCTTGGACTCAGATTATCTATTGGTAATGAACCCCTAACTAAGAAAGCCACATTTCATGGAACAGGCCCTTGTCACAGATAACAGTGCATGTCAAGATGGGTGCTCTCGTAATTGGCATGTAGTTACTCAATCTGCATAATTACACACAGTAATCATGCTGTTACATGTTTGGAAATGCTAGATCTCATTTTCTCTACTAATCCTAAAATCACATGAACATCTTCTGTAGGAGCTACTACTTTAGATGTTATGAATTAATATTAAGATGAAATTGAATTAAATGTACTGATTTTAATGTCATGAACACACTCATAACTATTTTTTCCCCTGAGAACCATCTGCAATTTAGAGACTTGCTAATCCTAATTAAATGCACTTTTCTTAAGTGCGTGCAAATGAACAGAGAAATCTGCTCAGTAACACACTTGCATATTTTTCTCTTTTACTAAAAAGGGGAACAAGGAACTGTCTTGTGATTTAATATTAGATCTTCCTTGTATGAAGAGATTAATGTTGTTTCCTCTGTTTCAAGACGTTTAGTTGTCTGAGTGTATTTTTACTGTTAACTCGTTAAAAGTAGAGAAGGAAAGTCCCTCATACATTTATAATTAGAGCTACCGCCCAGCCAATCTGGACAGGTTATACTGAAGAAAAACACCATTTCTCAGTTATGCATTCCAGCATTTTAGACAGTAGCTAAAGTCCTCTAGTAACTGCTTGGAGAAAACCAGAGCACTAAGCAGGTTAACATACAAACCAGCTACCATGAGATTTTCCATGGCACAAGGACAGAAATGAGAGCAGACCATTCAATCAGAAGCACTACTCTGCAGCCCCTCAACTAGAGCAGCTTTAATCAACACCAGTAGTGAGAATACTCTCTGGATTTACTCACCATCTCTTTTTTGACTGTTTTGGCCTTCGCTCCCCCAAAAAGAGTCTCAATCTTTCAATTAATCCAACTTACACTGGGAGTAACATCTCAAAGGAATGAGGAAATGTTTTAGCAGCACTGAAGTTGTTCACTTGTCATAAACAAATGAAGCATAGTAACACTGGAAAAGTCTCCAAAATCCCTCACCATTTGAAGATGAAACAGACTTGAAGCAAAAATGAGTGCTGAATCTTCTATCCTTGTATCAGTTCCATATCTTTAAGAGATCCCCTGCTCAGGCAAGAAGTGAGATTTGCTCTCAAGTTTTACTTTCCATTTGGCATCTGGGGTAGTTCACAAAATGGTAGGCATCTGATACCTAAAAGCTTACCTGAAACTAACAGGGAACGAAGGCATATTTGGAACACCAAAGGAAAACCAGTTAATGGTAATCTGTGCTTGCACTCCCCCCTCCACCACACTTCCTTCAGCACTGCTCAGAAATGCTCAGAAATTTCTCAGCAGCAGTGTTACCCTAAGCCCAGTTGAACGCCGTTAAAAGCCAGACTCCACGAGTCCTCTTTTGTACACCACAGACAGAACTCACCATTTTCAAAGCAATCCACAGATGACAGTTTTGTTAGGAACACACTTTGAAGTTCTTGTTCTGCCCACCAGCAATGCTTTCACCAAGTCAAGGAATTAGTCTAGGCTCTCTCTACAAACTTGACCACAGCCACAAGTGCCAGTTCCAACACAAGACTCAAAAGCTCCAACTGTGAGGCCAGCAAGGCACTGGTCAGACAGATAGGTGCCCTCAAATGAAGTTTGTTTATAAAGGGGAGCCTATCTTTATAAAGGGGAGCCTATCTGATGAGCTCTCTTCAGGACAAATTGCCTTTGACAAGCGTTTTCCAGCTGTCTCACCCCCAAGTTCAATCTGGTTTTCAGATGTTGTCAGCAGTGTTACTGAGGTATGACATCTTACTCAGCTTCCAAGAACACGTCAGACCCAGAATTATTTCTTTCCAGAACACTTAAGCCCTTACAAATTCTAAAGCTTAAAAAAAAATTGCTTAAGAAGTTTTAATACCCTCACCACTTATTACTATAATGAATGCATACAAAAACTCCATTTCTTCTCTTTCGTTGTTTTCCTTCAAAGGGAAGAAACAAAAGGTTTCTTCATTATTTTAAGAGTTCTCTATGCTGCAGCCAGATTTTCTGGGAAGTGACTCAGTATTTTCATGAGAGCAACTGAACGGACAGGAGTTTGGGTTTGGTTACTGGCAGGTCCTCCTTCTCCCCCTCCCATGGGGGTCTGAATATGATGGAAAAGTCAAAGGAATATGAAATTCCAGCCAGCTAATTTCAACCTTTAAAAGCAAGACACAGAAACCAGTTTTGCAAAACACCAAGTCTATATTTACATCCACATGTAATAATATACTCAACTAAAGTGAAATACATTATAAATTAAATGAGTAATGTGTTCCTACTGCTTGACAACTTCCGGTTTCAACAATTAAAACAAAATGGAATGAAATAAATACATAGAAAGAAAAAAAAAATCAACAATTTGTACCTCTATATATGCACTGTTACCTCCAAAGAATCATACAAAACCAGTAGTATCCCAATAGTTAATACTGATGGGCAAAGTGTATTCTGAAGTACAGGGCTGTGCTGCCATGAAATAAGTCTTCATGGTCATTTTTCCATTTAACCCTCAAGATCTCTACCAAAAAAATCTTGAAGAAAACTGTACCAGCATGAAGAGAGATTAAAAACATCTTAGGTCTTTTTACTTAGACATCTTAATACAGCCCTGTACGTGTTTTAACCACAGAACCTTGTAAGGTACATAGATGATAGTTACAGCATGCATTCTATAAGACTCATTGGAAAGATCACGCAAAAAAATAGATTAACCATTTTCCAAGTGAATCAGTCTTCAAAAAATAGGCTATAAAAGTGCAAAACTAGGAAAACAAATCTAGATTATGTACATATGGCTCAGCTTATGAACAGAAGAAAGGTAAATAGTGTACAATTTCCTGATACACAGCACTTCATTACATTGCCAGTTTACAGAGACGTTAAAATAAGGTCCCATATTCAGGAACTAAGACATACAACTGGAACATCTCAAGTTGCATAATGAAAAGACAAGAGTTTCTAGGTTTTGCTATTTTACATTTTGCTATTTGAGGGAAGAGAGCAAAACAAGCAGTGCAAATTCTTTTTTTTGTTTGTTTGTTTTAGTAAAAATATATGGAAGTCAAAGCCAGATACAGAAGAAATTAACTCTTTACTACAGGCTTTATGAGAAGTAACTAGGAATGAAGGTCAAAATACACAACAGTTCTGCTTTACTGGCTGGTAACTGGCCATCTTCCCTTTACAAAAAATAAACTGCATGTGCATTAGAAAAAACTCTTGTTGTCTTCACAAAAAAATAAAAGGAGATATTCTCCCATTAACAGTTTATTCCTTACTCTGTTTAAACATCCAGCAGATGCTAAAAACCAACATTAAGAAGCTTTCAAGCAGAGTCAAGCAGGCCACAACATAGCCACATCCCTTTTTGAAGTCTGTGGATCCTGTATTCATATTGCAAGCCTGTTTCTGACTGTATAGTTTGGACAAAGGTGCAAAGTAGTTTTCCTCTAAATGCAGTTTAGTAGAAAACTAAACATTTGAGAAATTTGATTAGTATCGTGTCTCATGCAAGTCCTAAGTATTTTCTGCTATAGAGGCTCATTTAAGAAACTTCTCTGAACAACAGCAACCAATGCCAAACCAAGAATCCAACCATATTTTAGGAACACCACACTGACAGACTCAAATGTCAAGTATCACCTCATCCATGCTTTTGAAAAAAGCTGGAAACAACTCCAGAAGAACAGATCCCTGTACTTCTTCTGGAAGTACACAGTATGATCTTAGCATATACAAGGCAGATCAGCATGATGTCAGCACCACTGCTTTGATGTTCACAACATTTATGAACTGGACAGTTTCAGACAGTTTATTTGGAAGTTGTTTTGAGAAACTAACATAGTTAAACAGGAAAAACAACATATGAGAAACTTTCACCTTTATGAAAAAGGAGCATTAAACCAACAGGATTTCAACTTCTGTATTTACAGTTTACCTGAGGTGCAAGGACTATATATTCTTTCAAAGAAACTCTTTTCAGCAGCGCTCAAGTATGTAAAAATATAATTCCTACCTAATATTTGGTCAATTAATTCTAATGAAAAATACTCCAAGTCAATGTCAAGACGTACATTCCCCACACACCTTCATAACCCAATTGTTTAGACTACCTTTTATGGCTATTTGGTATTAAATGTTAACAGAACCAATATTATAGAACTGTAGTGTTTTTATATACAGTACAATCACAGCTTAGTTCAGTAGCTTTCACCATTCATTTTCCTCAAGGGATGAACTGCAGGTATAACTCCATAGAACATGCACTTGTGTCCTTAAGACCTGGAACAAATCAAAAATAGGGTTTTGTATAGAACTAGAAAATAGCATAACACGTTTTGTTTGGGAGAAGGCATCCTTAAAACGAAAGAGAAGATAATCTTCACCCTTGCATAAATGTATTTAGAAATTATTATTGCATGTACAGCCTATCCTATATTTCATTACAAATTAAAACTGGCAATCATGTCTCCTTTTGAACACTCAAACTCCAAGCAGGAATACAGGCAGGAAATTGAGTTAGCTTTTTTTAAGAAAAAAAGCAGAACCAGGCAAAAAAATGCTTAGTGGGGACAATAGAAGCAGTAAGATTAGAAGACTATCAAGAAATACAGCAAAGTATTTTAAAAGCTGTCAGCTAGAGGTCAGACAGCTCTGCTCCCCGAGAATGTAAATATCTTTTTAGAAAAGACTGCACACTGGTCCAGGTGCTGTTGCATTCAAGAGGTATCTGCTTAAGTTTCAACGAGGAAAATGATCCGTGGCTCCAGCTTAGAAAGAGCATACGGATATATTTATTTATAGACTTATTCATGCTTATCTCCTTAGCAGCTAAGAATGTTGTGAACACAATGGAATTGTGAAGTTCTGAGATTCAGCTACAAACTGAAGAGATGAAGCACAGGAATTCAGCACACCAGGCTAATTCTTTTCACTTGACTTGTTTCCCCTAAGAGGCTACACCCATCCCTCAGCCAAACAAAGAAAAAGCTATTTGGAACCACCTCACCAGCACACAAGAATAAACTGTCAAGGAGCTATCAGGAAACCCTTACTTCTCTATGAAATAATCCAGCAGCAGTCTTGTTAGAGGCAGCCCACAGTACTTTCAGAAGTTGTAAAGTGAATAATGCCTCCATTTTCAGGAAGAACTGACCAACACAACCGCTCAAGAACTAGCAGAGGATTCACAAGCTACGATAACAGGCAGGTCCTCTCATTTCTAGTTCCCCACATTGTTCCCCCACCCCCGTATACTGACACAAGGGGAAATTCCTCTGGTGAACACTTCCCACTAGCACTGTATCCAATTAATACATTTATCTTTTTTAGAACCTCGATTTCTTTTAGGAAGGAAGCATCTAAGCATTATTTTTTTAAAACACACAAGGTATGCCATTACAGATACTCAAAATAACTAATGCTACATGAATATTTGCTTCACTTTCTAAAAGGGAGAGTTTGCATTTTCAGATGTTCTGGTTCAGACTTTCATAACCTCTCATCACACTTACGCAGCAACGTTTGATGTTATGAGTACATAATGCAATATTTAAGTAACAATTAGTTCAAAAGGTTTGTTTACCGTTTCCTGAAGTAAACCATCAAGTCTTCTTGTCACTTGGTCGAAAGCGTGCATTGCCAATGAAACTCTCATAACTTCGCTTTTGCAGCACACTGCTAGATAAGTGTTGGTATGACACTGATCTTTTTCCTGACAAAAACAAATTTAGACGAGTTATTTCCTGATAATTTAGTTGGTCAGACATTCAGCTGGAAGCAGGCCTATGTCAGCACCCAGGACACAACAAGTTGCCAGAACACAACTCACAAGCAAGGCTCAAGGTGGATAGCTATTCCTTGTCCTCCTATTAGCTGTGGGAAATACAGTACCAAAAACTAGAACAAGGAGAAAAGCTGTAATTTAAGAACCTTGTTCTAAGCTGTTTGCATGCACATATCATGCCAGGTTTTGCTGGTATAATTTGCAAAGGATATCTGTGCTCAATTCATCATACAGTAGGGTCCACTTTAAGAAGTGAATACCTCATACCATATGATACCTATGTATTCATTTTCTGCATTTGTTTGCAAATAGAACGTGAAATGGAAGACAGGTATGCTACATTATTACCTTAGTTAACATAGATAACACGACATAACATGAATAACTTTGTTAAGCAGTTTTCAGTGTAGTAGACTGGTAATTTTATATTTATCCACAATCATTCATTCAGCTTTATATACGTGAAATCAATGCCTGCTCCAAACCAAGTCTTTGTAGCTTAAGTAAGCAGTCAAAAAGTACTTCATAAAATGAAGGAAAAGTCAAGGATCATTTTCCCTCCCAGGATACAAAAAGCCCAACTGCCATCCATATTCCATGAGAGCTTTAAATGCAGCATTGAAAAAACCTAGCAAGCTTTAATTAAATTAAAATGGCAAAGCTAAATTAATATTTCAACAGAATCTACAAAGCCATTGGAGTGTGTCATGAGCAATTGTCTTTAATTTGCAGTCTCTGCCAGATCAATCAGCCAACAGGTTATCCTTGATAGCATGTTGCCATTGCAAAGGCAAGTAATTTGAAAATAACACAAACTGAGTGGTTTCAGAATGTTTCTGTCTCTTCAGGGCAATACAGAGTGGCACAGCTTACAAGCAGTAATAGAAGGCATCATGCTTTAATCAAGCTTGCCAAGTGGAACATATTCTCATGACAACTTGATCCAGCATTTAACATGCAACATAACATGTTCATAGGACCTAAATAATGTTGCCATAAGCACACAGATCCTTAGAGAAAGATTTTTGACATGCTCTTACAGTATCACCAGGGTTGATTAAGACTATAGAAACACGTAGTAAATTGCATATAATACCAAGCACCTCCATGGAATTGCAACTTTTAGGCAAACAGTTGTACCCAAGTTGTATTTCTTTTTTGTTAAACTGAAGAAATAAGAATTTGCAGAAACTCTTTACTGTCTCCAACCATATTAGAAGTCTAATGCTGAGAAGTTTCCTTGCATTAACCTTTTCAAAATCATCAAGGTCTGGTTTCATTCATGTACTTCTGGACAGAATAGTTGGAAAGCTAGGCAATTAGACTTAAAAGCCTATGTTTTATTGCACAGGGCATTTCTCGAAGTTTTTAAGAAAGCCCCCATCAAAAGGGTCTTGTTTCACAAGTCTTCCCAACAGCAGTAACAGCCATGAAAAGTTGCCTTGAGATGGCTCTGCATAACCAGCAATGAAATCTTTATTTCTATGACAATTATACTGTCTAATGATTGTAGGTATAGCTTCGAGTGCTCTAAATCACAAGCAACAATGACTATAATTTTGACTACAAGCTGCTGCCTCCAAGCTCATACCATAAAAGAGGAAGAAGAGTCTAACCACAGATTTTTTTCTGGTTGACAGGTGTAGCTTTCAGAAGAAGAACAAGGTGGATTCCAGTGAAGTCACTGTTTAAAAATGGTATTGCAGCAATTGCCAGTTCCACAGGCTGACCTCTCTAAGAGTGCTGGCTTGAGGAGAAATTTTTCTATTCTCAAGATAACGCTGGAGAGAAGCGAAATACTGACCCGTCATGTCCAGTGCTTGAAGCTACAGACTTATCAAGACAGCTGAAGCTACAAGTTTTAATTCCCCCCTTCTTATTTTAAACTCAAATTAACATGTCTTTATACAGTATCAAAAGAATTCTCTAAAAATCCTGAGTGTCCTCTGCTCATCAGGTAGCCATGTCACAAAGCACAAGTCCTCAGTCAGTTGACTTGTATGCAAACTAGCATTCTATTTAGTCCTTAAGGACACGTTAAATTCTTAGCAGAAAGCAACATTCTGCCAGGCTTTTTAAATCAATGGTTATTTATATATTCCACAACTGCATGAATGATTTCTGAACCACTTCTGCACCCAGATAAGAAAAAGTATTTCATCCTGCAGATCACTAGGAATATCAAGAGGCAGCAATAACATTTGTCCTTGGGGTTGTCCCTGTGTATTCTATGTGTAACCCAGTGCTCATTGCACATTCCTCAAGGCAATTAATGGCACAGGTCATCTGACACAGATGACACCTGATGAAACTAGGAGTTAATACTTTCACAACTGTTTCAGTAAGTCCAAATGTGATGCTAGCTTTGCCTATGTCATTTCCAGACCCAGCCTGGAAGCAGAGCTTTAACACTTGCCTTCATTTTTCCATAACTCACTAGTAAGCCCACAACCTTCATATACAAAAACCAGAACAGAGTTGGTGAATAGACTTTTCCCCACATAACAAAACACAGGTTTAGTGTCTTTCATTTTGCTCTGACCTAAGGTAACAGAACTCTGCTTGTTATCTCAGAAGTGACCTTGCTGTTTCTAGAGAATGGGTTCATTCCTAAAACAGGATCTTTGTTTCAAAATTCAAATTCCTATATTTAAGACTAAATCCATATTGGTCCTCAGCTGGAATTCATAGATAGTCTTCTAGAAAGTCAGACAACTGCTTAAACATCACCTAGTATCTTTTAATCTTGGCCTCCTACAAACTTTTGAAAATGTTGACTAAGAAACAAAGCACAAAGTTTTTCCAAATACATCACAAAGTGTTTGCTAGATAAAGAGTTTTCCACAGTTAAGTCTTACTACTCAGTGCAATGATGCCATAATAGAATAGCAGAACTTTGTCTTAAGTATTCTGTTCCTAAGCATTATAAAAACCCACTGAGCAACAGAAATATGAGATTTATGTCACAGTTTATGGTTTTAATACATCTTTTTCTGTAATTGAATGAAACAATTATCTATGACAGCTTTTTTTTTCTTTAAATTTCTATTAATATTCCAGATGGTCCAAAACTTCTTGTAATTTAAGCAGAAAGGCCTGTTCCATATCCTGGATTGGTTAGCATGTCTTGAGCACTCTAACGAGCAAACAGTACATGCTTGATGTTAGAGACTGTAGGCAGGGAAGTGGAACTTCAATTTTAAACCTCTCTTTAAAATTCATACTTTACATGCCTAATTCTCCAAGACAGGAGTTTGCTGAACCTGGATTTTACATTTAAAATCTAGGCACTGACTGTACTAGATGAAATGTTAACAGCAGTTGACTTTATTATTTTATTGTAGCTGTGCATTTATTGTTTCATACACCTTTCTTCATAAAGTTTAAAGACATCTAACTGAACTAGGATGGAGAAGATACAGTACCTTCTACTGTTGAGCTGGTGACTTGGCCATTGCTAGATCCACAAGAACTGTAAAGTGATCCAGAGCTATATGGCTCATAAGGTTTGAGAACAGTCAGTACTTTAGGAGGATCAGCATCATCCGAATTCAGAAGCCCTTGTTTGGTTGGCAAAACAGAGGATGCAGGTTTGGTGCGAGAACATTCCTGAGGTAGCAGATTTGCATATCTGTTTGCAACACGAAATCTGCTCGTTTCATATCTTCTGTAATTAGCCACTGCACAGTCACTTTGTTCAATAACTACCACACTATGTTTCATTCTTTTAGATGATGTTTCACCAAATTCTAGATTTGCATTGCCCACAGATTTACTACAAAGATAGTCTCTTCCTCGATGACAAGACCAGGCAGATTCGTTTAGGTGAGAGTCAAGAGCCCCATTCATACTGCTGCTCACTACACCAGACTGAGACATTGTGACATTCAGAGCTTTCATTTTAGATTCAGTTCTTTTTACTCTGTCCAGTACTGGAGAGCCACTGGAACTGGAGTGCATTTCTTGCTGAGGTTGTCTATAATTATTTGCCTGAGCTCCAATACTACTTTGCTGTTTATGAAACTTGAGGTTACTCGGGGCTGTGCTGCTTGAATCAGCCATTGCAAAAAGAGAGACTTTGTTCTGGGGAGGGTGACACTGCTTGGATTTCCCCGTTTGCAACAGTTTTTGTGGAATAGATGGGGAGGCCTTACTTTTATTAGGATTAAAAGACAGAGGAAGCACATCTTTACCAAGCAGAGCGGGAGGGCATCCAGTGCGTCTGGCTTTAGCTAGAGCCTTGTTTCTATAGCCGTTTTTGTTAACGGTGTCAGGGTTATATTTGTGCATCAGCCTCTGGTGCATCATTAGGACTTCTGGGTAGAATGTTCTGTAAGTACAAAATGGGCAGGTGCTGGGTACTAGGCCTCTAGTAGTTGAAATCACTGAACATTCTTGTGAAGTCCCAATAGATAAGTTCAAGGGCATTTCTTGAGCATCCACCATATGTTTGTGTTTGGAGTTCTCACAGCACTCTCGTACATCAGTTGTATTTTTTCCATCCTTAAAAGCACAAACATACTGGACATCATCTCCCTCTGATTCCACAGAAGCCTCTCTCTCTCTTTTATGCGAAGCACTGGGCTGAACTTCCTTTGTTTCCTTCTCAGACTTTAGTTTTTCCAAGTAAGGAGTGGACACATTCTCATGCATTTGATTCAAATTGTTACAAACTGAACGTTTGATCGATTCCCTAGAATCATTTTTCATTCTTACAAGGACTGTGCTGCCTGTTGCATTATTCAAGGCCAGGATTTCCTTTTGCTGCTTTGTGGGTGGGCAGCCCTCAGCATCTTTGGCACCATCAAAAAGCCTCTTCAAATTTTTGGTTTCTTGAGCACCATCAGCAACCAGAAACAGCTCCGTCTCCTGACTCTGCAATGAAGCTTTGCTGTCACCTTTCACATCTGCTGCACTATCAGCTTGCTTGTCCTTGTGATGCCTCTCTAAATGATACCTCAGTGAAGTTTTCTGTGCTGCTGCATACTCACAGAATTCACATTTGTATGGTTTTTCACCTGAAACACAGTTTTATCAGTAAGTTTGATACAATTTGAAGTCTTGAGTACAATTAAAAACAAGGAAATAATCTAGACTTTAGAACAATAAGATAGATTTTTCTTCCCCCTTTCATAAACCCCAGACTCTAAATCACGTAAAACTGTGTTACTGCTTTTGCTAACTACAGTGACATCTTCTGGTTATGAAGAAGATAGTTCCCTATGCAGAGTGGTAGCTCTGTTTGGCAGAAATAAGCAAGCACAGCTGTGGGTCAGCTCCAAAAATGCATACATAACCCTCGATCATATTGCGGGTATGCTACTCAACAACACAAATGTTGAGTTCTATAAATAGAGCTGTTTCAAAAGAAACATGGCCATACATTAGCAGAAATAGAATGAGTTTGCTTGGCTACAGACAAGTTTAACTGAAGAATACACAGCTCTTTCCCCAGGTAGCAGCAACTAACAGACAACCTTCATGCTTGGAAGTATTTCTGTGTTCTTCCTACACCGTGAAAGGCAGAAAGAATTTTAAGGTCTGAAATTAGTATTGTTAAGAGTACAGTATAATTGGCCCCAAAGAGATTTACACTTAGGTATATAATGAATTCCTTTCAAGAAATTAAAATCAGATCTTCTTCCCAGCATTAAGAGTAATCTTTATTTTCAGGATCAACAACTTTGAAGGCAACTTTTGTTTTACTTAACCAAAACCAGACATCCCATCCAATTGGATTCATCACTTCCTTCCCCTCCCATAAAGCTGAAGCCCATTTACCTGTATGAGTTCTGAGATGAATATTGAGGTAATAATTTGAGCGAAAATACTTTCCACAATAGCTGCATTCTCTGGAGGCTCCAAGATTTTTAACTTTTGCTCTTTCCAAAACATCTTCATTTTTATCTTTGAGAGAAAATATAGCTACATTATGAAGAGCAAATGCAAGTCTGTAGTCCCTTTCAAAACCATAAATAACTATCTTAGCTGTCTTTAGTAAGGAAAAAGCACAAAAGGAAGAACTGTTGCCAACTCCTGCGATCTGCAAGCATCTTTGGTTCTGTACTGATGTACACTTAGAAAGCAAAATGGCTTAAAAGGTTTCCAGCTGTGTCAAGTACCACTGTGGTTAGTGTCTGAAATGAAGCAGCCCCACAGAATAAACAAGATGTAAAACTAGGTCTCAAAGAAAAAAATATTTAATTCTGTAATAACCAACAAGAAATCGTTGGAGAATGGCCTAAATGAAAGCCATATCTGCTAAAACCTGTATTCTTGTCATAAAGGGGAGTGCTTGAGTAGCGTGGTTATTTGGACTGTAAACCTGCCTGGAACATCACGACAGCACAGGATGTTGTCTGCAGAAGGAAGGTGGAGAAGACACCTGATTTTTTTCCTTTACTGTAATATTAAATCTGCAATCAGTGAAGTGTCATGCCCAGAACCACCAGCTTGGCTTCAACAAGTAATCTTTCACTAGAACTGTGAATGCTTAAGCTCTAACAAACAGGAACGTGGCAGGAGCTGCTAGTTCTGTGGAGCACGTGCTTCCCAATTCAGATAAACTGAAGCAATAGCGATTACCACTGGAGGGCGGCATGCACAGCACAATGTCTAACAAGGGGAGAAAGCTCACACACAAAACACCATTCAAGTCAACGTCTTGATGTTTTTACAACTCAAACTGCCAAATAAGTCAACTTAAGTAAAATATCCAAATCAAAGCTAACTAGAAATCTAGAAAGTGGGAAAATAAAGAAGGAAACGTTTTGCTTAACTAAGACGTTTGAAACATGATAGACAGCTTAAAATGATTTTCCAAAGTTACTATGCATTGGAAAGTTTCCATACTGGAAATGCTAAGCGTGGCTAAACTGCGGCCAAGAGCAGCCAGAGCTGTTTTAAACAAACAGATAATGTCTCAATAAGCATGACTCAGCATCTCACAATGAAAGCTGTTCTCGTTTTGGATAAGGCGCTGTGAAACAAAACAAGCAAGCTAACATTAGGTAATATTTTTTTTCCTTTGTTATTGGAGGCAACATTAAGGGCAGCACATTACCAGAAACAGAAAACTCGGTTCTTGTGTGCCAGGACATTCTGTACGTTGTCTTTTCTAGCTATTATGCAAGTGTCTGCTCTTTAAATGCAGACTTGAAGTATGTCACACACAGCAGTGCTAGTTTAGCTACATGCCTTTTGCTATTCCGTTTTGTCCACAGACACGCAAACTTTTTCAGTTAAGGAATCATTCAGCACTGGTAGCACATTTTTCTAAGGCAGAGTGAGGATCAGCATTAACCCTGGGTAACATACGGTTTACCTGTTCTATCAAAGAGGAGTTAAGTATATTCCTCTTGCATACACACATTAATAGTCCATATGCACATCCTTAAACATCTAATTTAAAAGCTGCTGGTCCTGACACTTGACCTGTCCAGTTAGATACCATTCAAAAGAAACACTTCCTATAGATGAGTAGAAAAACCTTGGAATTATTGTTTACTTCTTGGGATCCTAATAACCACTGATTTTGAGCATTGGATATTTTTCTGCCCTTTCTTACAAGATGCAGGCTCAAGTGGGAAACATACAATGACTTGTTCAGAAATACTACCTGTAAAAACATGTGCTGTACAAGAATGCAATGAATATGTACTTCTATCAGGTAGAAGTATGTGTCTTGGTGGGGGGAATACAATTTTTCCAGACAGATTGTTATTGAAAGTATTTCAGTAATTCCAGAAACCCAAATCACCACTGCCAGAAGGCCCAACACAACTTCAAAGATCTGGAAATACTCGAGTCAGAACATTTCTTTCCTTTTCCTATTCTTCCTCTCCTCTCCCCTTTCCCCACCATACTATTTCATATTTCCAGCGTAAGTTTTGGAAAAGGACGTTAAGAGAGATGATGCATTTTTGGCTTTAAACAGCTCCCAAACAATAACAGTTATTTCAATCTCACGCCTCTAAATGCTGCTCACCTAAATTCAGTGTTTCTGGAAGCCCATCTTCGGACCCATCTTCAGATCCTCCTTCCACTCGCTCTACTGTTCCATTTTCATCTAGGCTTGCAATTATATCAGTACAGCACGACCTTGAAGCAGCTGAAGTCTCCCCATCTGTCCTCCTGTCTCTCTTATGCACTCTAGAATGAAGGACTAGCTGGTGGTATGTTCTGAAGGCTTTGCCACACTCTGAACAGTGTGTTGGTTTCTCTTTGTTCTGGGACAATTTAGAATCCATCTCCATAGAAGGCACTTCACTGTTGGGATGTTTCAATTTGTGTCGGTATAAGTTACTATTCCCTGTATAACTGCTGTTTTTGTTTACTTTTGACTTCCCTGTAGTTTCAGTCTGGCTACCTTTATTTGCATTCCAAATTTCACCAAGTTCTTCTTTATCAGAACATGAATCATCATTGTCTGTACTTCCTTCTTGTCCTGATTCTTTAGTTTGGCCATGGCCAATTGCAACTTTGCCTTTGGTAGCCAGCTGCCATGCTTGATATGTGTTGAACGGATCCAGCTCAGCAATCCATTTCACAGGTTTTTGTGATTTGTCATTTTCCAGAACCACTTTTGGTCTTAATTTCAAAAATCGCAAAAACTCTTCTCTGTGAGATGTTTCTTCTAGATCAGGATCATCAGTCACCTGGGGGCTTTCGCCATTGGGTACTGATTCTTTGGTGTGCACTTTACTGTGCTCAAGTAGAGTCTCTTTATTGAGAAATAGGAAGCCACAAACCATACAAATTTTGTAAGGCGATGTTACATTTTCAGTTATATGCTCCTGCACCACCTCATTTATTGTGATGGGGCTTTCAGAACCTTGTTGAAGCTTGTTTCTAGAACCAGGCTTCCCAGTATGTGTTCTCATGTGATTTTTGAGGAACCATGGCTCTTTAAATCTTCTTCCACATACATTACACCAATATGTGAAAGAATCTTTATGCTTTTTCATATGTGCTTCAACATCAAAAGCCTCATCAAACGTTTGTCCACAAACTTCACAACTAAGTTCTTCACTGTCCTTGTCATTGTTTGGTGAAGGCAAGTTAGTTCTTACTTGACATTTATCTAGAGGACTAAGATACTCTGCTTCAACACGCAGGACAGCTGGTTCACAAAGAGTAGGCCTATGCTGAGTTAAAACATGCTTTCCAAGTTCTTCAGGATGCTTAAAAGTCTCATCACAAAACATGCAGTCCAGAGGCATACATCCTTCAGCTTGCATAAGAAATTTTTCTTGCAAGCTTTTGTAAGAAATGGTATTTGTTCCTTTTATTGTCATTGAGGCATCATTATTCTCCATCTGTGCACCAACAGTACTGGCTATTCCATCCAGTCCATCCATGTATGCCAAGAGAGGCTGAGTTGGCATGTTTCCTACGTTCTGTTCCCTATTACGTGTTTTAATGGAAGGTTTCAGTTCTTTGGGGGATGTTCACTGATCACGATAAGGACACTTGTAAAGTTCTCCAACATGTGCTTGCAAGTCTGCTAAGTTCAAATCTTCTGCCAAGAAAAAGACTTTTTTCCAGCAGCAAAAGATTATTTCTTTTCCATTTTTACCTGTGTTAACACATCACTGAAAGTGCATCCACTGCTTCTCTCAGCGACACGAATGAGGTTTCTTGAACTATTTCTTCTGATTTTTCAAGTCTGCAGAAACAGTCAGTCACACTTAGTTTTTCTGTAAAAAACTTAAGATAGTTGCATTGGGCAAAATGTACTCGAGGGCAAGTTCAGTGCCACAAAGAACTCCAGCACCTGAAAAGAGAGAAAGCAATCTGTAAGACTTCGCAAAAAAAAAAAAAGGAAGATATCTCCCAAATAGAGAAAACTGTTGAATGCTTTTGAGCACAGAAGGCGTACATTACTAAGCATCAATGAGGGACAACTAAAAGACACTCCAGTGATTTTCTACATACCGGAGTAGAAATAAACAGCTGTCTTGAACATTCCTCTATTCCATTAGTTAGGCTACTGTTCTAAGACTGCTATATAATAGCAATACTTCAATAACTGCTCTAAACCTGCTCTTACCCAGCTGCATAAAACTGCTTAAACCATATTTTAATACGTACATCAACTGAACTCCTAACAAGCAAATGAAGCGAGCCAAAGTAACCTTCCAAAAACTTGTGAAACCAGAATTTAGAGCCACAGTAAAACTTTGTTTGTTCAGTAATGGCTGTTGAGCAAAATCCCTTCTTTCTCCCACCCAAGACTAGAGAGCTTGGAATTAGCACTCACAGTTCTAGTACAAAATGAGCATTAAGTACAAATCCTTGTATTAAGAACTTCGTTAATACCACTGCTCTGAGCTGTTAATATCCACAGATTTACAACCCCTGCCACAATTAGATCATCTCGAAGTTTCAAACAGTCAAATGATACTGCTTCTTGAAAAGTAGTTTAATATTTAAAAATCATCCAAGAGGCCAACTACTACACTTGCAAAGGAAATGCTTCCCATTTCAAACTGCATGCAACGCCAAATGTGTGTTTGATTATACTCCAAAATGAAGGTTTAAAGTTCCGTAAGTTTTAAAGGGGCTATGATATAGTTAATTACAAGTTCCACTCAATTTTTTAAACTCATAAGAATCAAAAAGCCCACTAGCAGCAATTAATTAATTAATAACTCTCTTAGGACAGAGAAATTAATAGTTTTGGAGTTCAAGATCCCACTTAATCAAATGCTGGGGTAAGGGAAAGATTTACCAGAGTAGCACATGCTCACATAAACTGAATGGAAAACATCCCCAGACGAAACCTGCCCAAACACAAATATCTAATCAGAAGAATGCATTCAGAATTCGACTCCAGCCTCAGACTTTCACAAATTATTCCATAAGAGAAGCTGCCCAGTGATCCATGTCACTTGAATTAACAAGTCTCACAACACAATTTGCTCTATGGCTCACATAATAGAAGACAGTATGAGCAAAGTATGTTTTTAGAATTCCTCTTCCCTTTTACCTTGCTCTTATTTAAGGGAAAATGGAAACATTTCACTTTATTTCATCCAAAGAAAGGATAACCATTCCAAACAAATCCTGTAATAGATCAGGCTATAAACATGTTCACAACAAGCAGTTGGAGCAGGCAAAGACACTACACTGCTGTGGTCCCAGCTGAGGTTACCTGCTTTTCCTGACAGCTTTCCTATTCAGACAGCAGGGTAGCCTTCAGTTATGAAATCTCAAAATCACTTCAATTTAAGGAAGCACAGCAAAACATTGCCAGGAGTAGTAGATAGAACAGCTCAAACACTTATCCTCTCACTGCTCTATGCTTGGGTCCTAGGAATATTCTCTAGTTTCAAACTGAAAGTCAGCTTCTTTTCCTACCATTATACTAACAAAAGAAAATCCTGGAGCCTATAATAAAGATGATTTAAAAAAAAAAACTGCCAATACAGTTGCCAGCTGCTTGTATTCATCTTTTCCCCGCAACACCAGAACTTAGTATTCATGTTGTCCAGTCACCTAAGCAAGGGCTAGAAACAATTCATCTGAGTACCAGGAAGCCAGAGTGGTCCCTTCTGGCTTCTTAAAACTCAAAGACTATGCCAAAGGCTCACATCACAAGTCAACAGGAAGAACAGAGGGAAATTGGGTGGAAGGGTAGGGAGTGGATGAGGGACCATGTCACTGGCTGATAGGAAGGTGACAGCAGAACCTGAATTTGCTGCAGCCAAAACATCTCTTCACTAACTTGGGCCTTTATTCCCATTTTTTTTTGTTGTTGTTGTTTCTTTAATCACTGTCATGATTAACACTTCCTCCTTTCATAATGACTCGAATCTTTTGTAGCAGGCAGATTCAGCCTGTGGTGTGACACCTCTGAATTGCTTCTGCTGCAGCCTTTGTTCTTGCCCTATCCTTTCAGTCGGTTTTGGCTTTCTGGCTTTCACGCACCCCTAAATAGGCAGGTGGGGAAACTATAACAGAAGTTTGAAGGTGAAGTACTCAAAAAGCTTTCCTTTTTCGTAAAGCATAAGGAAAAACATATCAAAGGGTACTGCTTAGCATGTTTTACTTCGTGTTTCAACTTGCTGTTTTGTTCCATTTCTGTTGTAGTTTTAAGAGGTATTTTTGCACGGCAGGATAACATGCTGCAGCACAGCTCATGTGCCTAAATGGTGGCTATATGCCTGAAAATAATTTATTTGCAAACTAAAATGAACAGCTACTTTGAAAGATTTCTAAATGCCTCTAAGGAATACCTAAGCAAAATATTAGAAATGAGCTTACAGAGTTTAACATATTTACTTTTGCCTACACAGGTAAATACTCTGCAGTAGTAGATAAGAACCAAACCCCACAAAGGTCACAGGCACTGCTGGGAAGGAAGTGCCCCCAGTCCCACGCACTGAACTGCTGAGATCCATCAGTTATATCCTCACTCCTGCCCAAGAACACAGCAATTGCCACCCTGCTACACTCCCCACCCTGCAGCATTGTGACATAAACAGAGCAACAGAAGAGATGTCATTGTGGAGAAAACACAGATGAAGAACATCAGAAATCCACACCATCTCTCACCCTATGAGGACCAATATTTCAGCATCCTGAGATGAGGGGAGAAGTTGGTCTACTTCAACATCACCTCATTTCAATGCATCAAAGTAGAAAAATTACTTAACTGTCTAAAAAAAAAAACAAACCTGACCCTACAACTGCATGTATAAATACCCAGCATATAGCTTGCACATGGACTGTGAGAAGAGTTTTACACAATTGTAAATCGTAATAGTCTGAATTTATTGGGTATCAATAGATTTTAATTAATCCTTTGGAGTATCCTCCCACAGCACTCCGAAGCTGAGTACACACCCACCAACCTGTGCTGGCTGCTGAATATTTTTCAGGCTTTTGCTGTTTTTAATAGGAGGGTCTCAGCAGTTGTGAAGGACTGGTCACAGCTCACCCTCTAGGCAGCACTGCAAAGCAGAGCAAAATATTCCTGGCTTGGAACCTAGAAGGCCTATCTGCAATTCAGGCAATTATTTTTCTTGGAAATGTTATTCTGTACAAGAGATAGCATCTACGGATTTAAAAAGGAAATCTTGCAGGTAGAATTCCTGAAGAAAACTGCGAATGCATTTAGATACTACTATTAATGTCAGAAAACAAGCTGGAAAACTGCAGTCTTATTTCATACTTCACTGTGATTAGACAAACAGCTTTCTAAAGTGGGGCATGATTTTACACTTACAGTTTATAGTTTAAGCATATATTAGCTAGTCTAAACAAAGTATCTGCACTAGGATTTTATCCATTGTTTAAAGAGAAAACAACCTTTTTCCTAGTGAAGATAATATTATACTTTGGACCTGAGGACCAGAAGTGCTGATTAATTACATTCCTGTTCTTCAAAACACTGTAGGTAACAGTAAAACAGCGACAGTTGCTATAATTTTGTATTATTGCTTACTTGGGAAAGCAGATAACCTGTAGTTTGGAAGAGCACTGTAACCACCTGTGCCTTAAAGTCTATATACTGGCAAAAAAACCCACAAACACACAGTACCTGGGGCAGCTTCTGGCATCTTTCACTTTCAGGAGACAAAAAGGGAGGGATGAAAAGAAGAACAGGACAACACCAGTAATAGACAGCCAGAGACCTTAAGCAAAACAGCAGACTAAAACAGGAAACACTTCCTTCCAACATCTGAAGAGAAAGCTGTAAGTTTGCCACAGATTAACCTTAAAGTTGAAAATAGAGGATGATTCTCCACATTTCGGTGAGTTCACATTCAGCCTTCCGACTTCCCTCTTCACCATTTGTGGACAACAACAGGCATCCCCAGCAGTGAGCACGGGGATCCTGCAGACACCTCCTGTGGGGTCACTGCCAGAAGTGACATCTCTTCTCAACTAACAACACTGCCTGAACTCCATCCTTCTGGCAGCCCAGAGTGCCTCGCAAGCTTCAGTTCACAAAAGTCATATTTGACCATGTGGTCTTTAATCAAATACTTCAATGTGTTCACAGCAATATCCATTATATTTACGAACACCACAAAACATATATAAAAAATTTGAACTCAACAGTGAGAACATCTTGTTTTCATCATGCTTGCCATACAACCTGATAACCACACCAAAAAGCTGTTGCATATAAATAGATTATTAGAACAGACTAAGTTTTAATTAAGTGCCTGTAGAGAAGTTTAATTTACTTTCATTAAATTACACAACTGAAAACTACATGTTGCAGTCTCAAACATTTCTTTGGGAAATGACCTATCAGTAGTAATTTTATTGCATTTCTACTTCCTGCATTTCAAAATTTCCATGAATATGTAATAAAAATTCTAGACACACCTTTCTGAGAATAGCAAAGTCCAGCCACTGAACTTCTCATTTCAGACACCACGGAGCACTGGGACTGAGAGCTGCATAGCTGGGAGCAGGAAAAACAACTACACCTCACTAGCTGTGTGCTGGCAGAAATAACAGTTGTTCAACTGTAAAAAGCTAACTGGAACAATTACAGAAGTTCACCTAGTTCCTGCAACAGTTTCTTAAAAACAGAAGTGAGAAAACTAGAAGAGAGTTACAACTAAGTGATAAGTTACTTTTGTACATCCTGCACAAGATGCACTCAGACAGCCACCCCATAACAGACCCCTAACCCAAGGCCAGCAGCAAGCTGTCACTGGTTCCCAGTGGTTTCTTCCAGGGTTTCTTTCAGTGCCCCATGGAAGCTCCACAGACCCACATAGCCCACCGTCAGGAACGTATTTCCATCCCAAAATCTCAGGGAGCCAGTTGCTGCAGTTTAGCTGCCTTTGTTTGTTTCTGTAACCATATTTCTTTCTCCACTTATTTTCAACATATTCCTTCAGTTCTTCCCCACATTTCAGGATGTTTCAGGAGGATAAAGATACTCAGCCTCAAACGTTTGCCTCTCAGTGCGTTTGTACTCAGAATAGGTTCCTCCTCTTCAACACTGCTAATGAAAGATCTCACTCTGCTGCTGGTTAATGGGAAACCACTGCCAACTTACTGAAGCACCTTTTGTATTTCTACCTACAGGTTTTGCTTTTGCAGAATAGTTGCTCCCATTCTGCCTTGTGAACATATACAGAGTAATTAACATCACTTTTTCCTTATTGAGACATCCTCACTTTGCCAGCAAATCAAAAACAACTTATAGGGCTTATGTATTTCAGCTGGGCACAGCTACATCCAGGGGCAATACATCATGGAATAGCTCATGTATAAATGCATCAGATTGTTTCTTTTTAAAGGAAAAAATAAGTTCAGACTCGGTTATTTTATTTAGCACTTTCCCCCCCTCTCTCAGTGCACAAAGTTAAGGCAGTTCTACCACACCTGGCATGCACAGAGGATACTAGGTAGAATTACCATCCCCAAGTGGCTACTAATAACATTCAGGAGCTGCAGACTCTCAAGATAGAGCCTACAGAGTCCTAAGGTTGTGTACAGCATTCACAGAACCCAGCAGTGACAACAGCTCTGTGTTAACAGCACTGCTGTGCCATGTGTTCACATCTCCCACGTTCAGTCAGAACGCAAAGCAAGACGATGTTGTGAGGTTCTAATCCACCCATTGCTTCAAAACATCAGTCAAATTATCAGATACCCAGAACATGAAATTTCAAGCTTGATTCTGGATTTATATGTGTCTCTGGATTTATACATGTCTAACACACAATCTCCTTTAGGTGTTTTCTAAGAAAGGCACACGTCACATCTCACACATTAAGGTGTCTTCCTGTCCCAATTTAAGGAACTGCAGCCCCTGAACCTAGGGAACACATTACTTGCTCAATGAATTGAGACCTTATTTCTGAAATGCACCAGTGTCCACCTGCAAGTGACTTGAGCTGAGCACTGGGAAGCTATAACACAGGCATAGAAAGCTTCATTTTGCAGAATGGCAGTAGTCAGCTTTTCTTCATAACTCTATAGGAAGCCAGTAACTGACTCTTCATTACTGTGAGTCCTGTTGCCTTCTAGGGAAGGGAAGAGCAACTCCCTTCAACTTTTGGACTGTAAATGATTTAACAACTTCCCAGTTTGTTTCTGTGTTAACAGAGTACCATGAGTGCACCTAATGTAGCTTCTCATCCACATATTTTTTCTGCTATGTGTTGAAATAGAAAAAATTTTAAATAGAAGTTTGTTAATAGTTCATTCAGATAAAGAACTAGCATGAGAACTTATAAAGGAAATGGAGATCTAGGGGGAGGAAGGGGAGGAAGAGAGTTGGTTTGTTTCAGTTGCAGGAAAAGATCAAAACAAAGATGTTCAGGTTGAAAAGAGAACATAAAAGATGACCCCAAATTGGAATTTCCACTCCCTAAATGCTGCACATCCTCAAGGCCCCTTGTTAGTCTTCATCTTTCAGGCCTGAAGTTTTCAAAGTTATTCTAAACCTCGATTCTTAGAGAGGTTGTCAGAGTTTCTTTTTATCCTCTAGAAGAGAGGCTATTTTGTTTCTCCTCCATTACAGATCCTTGCAATGCAGCTACAGAGTTTTCCAACGCAGTGCAACTGAGACAATTCATAAAAACAGATCTGAAGAAACAGACATACACCAGAGTGCAGGAGTGTTATTATCCAGGCACTTCTCCACACACACTTCAGAAAGATTTTGTATTAAAGCTCTTTTGTAGTCAGATAAGACAGACAAATATGCAAATCACTTTCCTCCAGGAATTTAATTACCAGTGGAAAATAACTAGCAGTTAATAATGAACAATATTAGGAAAACTCCCTGCCCCCATTTCAGACATCTATACTGATAGAAACAAAGGATATCCTTTCTCTAAAAAACCTTTTCCTGCAGAGTCCCTTTTTCTTTAAGGCTGTGTGTCTGTTTTGGCAGAGGATGGATAAGATGAACACGTCTCCTCAGTGAACTGTATGCCTCTTCTATCAAAAGATGTAATTATTCCTTTCAAAGCAGAAAACATATAAGCTTGCATCACTTTGCACATGTTTTTCTTCCACTGAGCAAGAGTAAATATAAAAGAGACTAATTCCTGGCATTAAAGGAGGAAGTGCTACAAGTAAGTATTGCCTTTTAAAGTTCAGAAGCATTGCTCCAACAGATTTTCCAGATTTCTCCCTTCCCCCCCTCCCCCACTCTGAGTAGGAGAGAATTTCTCAGGGACCACAAAACCAAAGCTGACTGTAGACACTAAGAAGGAGCCAACACCTGTTGTGGAAAGGCTGAAAGACAAGAGCAATTCTATTCCAAATAAGTCTGGGACAAGTTTCACCACTGCTATAAGATGATGCAACTTCATTAAATCAAGAAGTTACGTGCTCTTAAACTGGCAGTGACCCCTTACCTTACAAAACAGTTTATTGTTCTCTCCACAACAGGTAAAGACTCTTGGTGAAGTGAGTGATACATTTTTACTGTTGAATCAGTTTCACCTTACATAAACTGCCTCATGTTTAGTCTTGGTTTCTATTTGAAAGAGGATATTTTCAGCGACCTTAACAGCAAATTAGATTATTCTCTCCTCCCCCCCCCTTCCCTGACATCTTTTGGCAGAGGGATGTTAGATCTCCCCAACAGCCACCACTACAAAGAAGTGGTAAACTTGGAGTTTACCAAATTAAACTTAATTTCTTATTACTCAAGAGGCAGGAGTTCCTCTGTAGCAATTATGGGGAAGTTGCATCCCTTTGGGCAGCATAAGTGAAATAACAGGAAAAGAGATTCTTCGCTATTCCTGAATTGGAGAGGAGAAGAGTTCACTTTGTTCAGGATATTCATCTTCCCTTGCCTTCTCACCTGATTTCAACTCTGAATCCAACTCTTACCAACATAGTGGTGTGCTGGCAGAAAAAGCAGCAGCTTCCTATCCCCCCCTACCTCCCCACCTCTGCAGAGCAGTGACTTTGAAGCTGCCACTTTCAAACATACCCACAATTACGTATTGGCAGAAATCAGTCCTGAAAGATGGAAAAATGCACACAGTCTGGTGGAAAGACATTTACTTCTACTAAGCCCTTCCCTGGCCTAAAATCTGAAGATACAAAAATAGCAATGTGCTTGAAATACACATTTCTTCCATGCAGGTGGGAGCTCTTCCAGAAACCAGTGCCAGTTGATAGAGATTCAGAAAGTTTTAATTGCCTGGCATTACCTTAATTATCCTCCATTAAGACTGAAGGGATGCATGTGATGACCAACACATGGCTTCAAACTATAGAATCATAGAATTACTCAGGTTGGAAGGGACCTCAAGGATCATCCTAGAAAGCAAAGCCAGCACGTACAAGATATGGACCTCTCCAAAGAGAGGAAATAGGCAAAAGTTTTGTATGTTGGTTTTTTTTTGTTTGTTTGTTTGTTTTTAGCAGCTAGTAAAAGGTTAGAAACAAACATTAAAGCTAAACAGAAGCTGTGGCTTATCTGGACCACCTTTATATCCATTCTCCCAATGGTATTACACACCGTAGTCTTTGGAGCACATCTAGTTTGCTTCTTCCTGTCTACCCAGCAGAACGAAGCTGACCAAAGACTTCACCTCATCAGCCCCATTTACCGCTGCAATGAAGTGTAAGCACAAGGGACTTCATATCCCTTCTTCAGTAGTTATGTCAGAGGCAAACTACACTGCACTCTATTACACAGAAAAATGCAAGTACACTCATTGCACATAAACAAATTCAGACTTTGATACTTTCAGCTGCATAAAATCTTTAGAGTGTAGAAAATCCCTATCCAGTCAGTTACTCACTTGGACGAGTTTCTGCTCAAATCTTTAAGTCAGGCAGCACTACATAGATTTTCCTGCGTATTCTAACCACATTTCCTCTTGTACTTTCTTTTGAAATTCTCAAGGCAGTCAGATAAACAATTCAAGCTTCTGCAGTGAACTCAGACATTGTATGCACAAACAATGTATGTCTCAGATTTTTGATTTATACCTCATTTTCCTCAGCACCTACATTGGTTTACTTTGTAATTTCATGTCTGTCCCTGTCACAGCACATAGTTTTCCTGTCCCCCCTCCCCTGCCCCAGAAAGAAAAAAAAAATACAAAAGAGGAGGAAGAATCGCAAAAGCAACTAATCTATTAACTACGAGTTGCAATCTTAGTGGTCAGAACATAGCAATAGAAGTTAATATATTTTCCTCTTGTTTGGCAGAAGAATAAAAACAATAAAAGCAATAAAACAAGATTATTTGGGAATTTCCCTGAAAAAGTTAAAAACAATCAAACCGTTGTCAGAGTAGCCTTAATTTTGGAGGTAGATGAAAAAAATAGGCAAAGTTAGCTTAGGAAAGCATTTTCTTGGTTTGTTTTTTAATTAAAATACAACGCAATGAGGATCTTACATAGCTTGGTCATATCCTTTTCCTTACTTTTGTCTTCAGTTGCAAATCTCCTGTGGTATGAGTCACATCTCTCTAAAAGCATGCATACAGTAGTCAGCACAATCCCCCGCCCGTATTAACGCTCCAGAAGGAAAAACTCTTCTCAACTTTTTTTGTTACTAGAGCTACCTTAAAAAGGAGGGTCAAGGGTCAGCAGAAATGACCCAGAGCCTGTTAAAAGTCAGTAACAGTTTGAAATAAATGTAATTATGAGATGTGGAAAGAATATCTTACTGGAATGCTGATGTTCTAAATCCAGAGTCTCAAAAATAAGAGGGCTGAGCTGGCAAATGGCAGCCCTGCTGCAACTGAAATGCACTATCTTGCTATATTTAAAGACAATACCTCAACAGTTAAGTATTGGAACATTTTAAGTGAGATAAATAAGCATAAGACACAGGCAAATATCCTCGGTTATTTAATCATCCTGAAAGCAGTGTGGAAGTGTGAGGGGGAGTTCAAAGGTCAAACTCTTCTTTCAGCTGCTTGCAAAGAAAAGAAAGCTTAGCCCATTTTACCTTAGGGAAAGGAAGGGGGGCCGGGGCCGTTCTTTCCATATGCCAGTACTAGTTACACATTTCATAACACAGGAAAGAGGGAGTGTATTTACATATACAGTGCATGGAATCTTTTACTAGGACAATGAATTCCATATCAAGATTCAGGTTGAAAGAGTTGGGACAAAAGAGTCCCAAAGAACAAAGGGAAGTTAAAATTTACTTAGCATTTCCCCAGAGCTCCTTAGCTACAGAGGAAAAAAAAAATCTGAGAGTTTGTAATTAAGAGCTTATTGTAATCACCATTTTGAAAGTCAAGTGAAACTCACAGTTCCCGTTCATTTAAAATGTGATACTGATCTATCACCGCAGCTCTAAGTGGAAGCTCAGCAGTGAGGGGAAGATACTTTCTGAAGGTTAGAAGTACTCAAAAGGAATTTTTAAATGTGATCTCATGAAAGGGGAAACCAAAATGAAGTAACCTTTTGTAAGACGGCCTGACAAAGGTGCTAAGGTTTATTAGCTTCCTCTTCCTAGCCCCCACCCTACATCAAGTTCCCCCCCAGCTGCTAGCTAAACAAAGAAAGACATATTCCCTTAAAATGAAGGGAAAAAAACACCTCTAATCCAAAGCCTGGAAGCCATTCTGTAAAGACTACTTAATGTGAAACTTTGTTTACAAGATACAAATATAGCCTCTCACCACAGTCAAAACCAGAAAACATCCACTTATTTAAAGAAATACTTTTTCTATTTTGATCAGCGAGAATGTAGGTACTCATTTTAAATTTAAATTCAGCTCAATAGTGCCATATGAATGCTTCAAATTCATGTATGATATGCACTGTTTGAGAATGTTTAAACAAAGGAAGTAGGAAAAGCCTCAAAATACACAGTAAAACTTAATGACTTCAATTTAAAAATACATACTGATTGCAGCACGGTAGAATTATTCTCTTCTGCTCACAGCCAGCCTTCAGAAAGGGTGAGTGCAGGCAGTGGAGTAATTTGTCCCACTGGAAATTCTGTATAAAACATCTACCTAAAATAAACAAGGCTTCGCAGCAAGAATCGTCAACTGCCATTAAGGACACACCTTAAAGTTCTTACCACACAGTAACTAAACAAGTACAAACTAGTGGTGACTGTTCGCTACTTTTGTCTGAAAAGTTAATGAGATCAATTCACCCCTCACTATCAGATCTTAAGATAGTTTTCCTAAAAAGGCAAGAGACAAACAACCCCCAAAGACGAATAGCCAGCACTCGGGTGCCTGATGTGTTATCAGAACGCCCGAGGTTCTTGTAAATACGCATATAAATATTAACATTTAAACCTGACACCACCTAATACTAGAAGGTAAAACGCTGAGCCTCTGAGAACGCTGCTGCTCGGGTACTGGAAGGCAGCTGTTGTTCCCCTGCCTTTTCTTTTGTTGTGCTTAATCTCATGTCAAGTCATTCAACCAACTCCAAAGCGATGAAGACATAATTGAACAACCTTAACTAAAAGCTGATCTACTGTTCTTAAATAGCTCCAGATATCGTTTAACGATTCAAGAAGACCCACATATTTTAAAGGAACCTACAGAATTTAAATCAGCAACTCTGGTGCATGCAGAAGAGTTGCTTGGCTGCGGGCCAAGCCAATCAATAATCACTGTAATAACCACGTTTCTAAAGTTATTCTCTTTTCATATTCATCACTCCAAAAACTTCAAGGCAGAATTCCCAAACTCAGTGCTGCTCTCGAGCACGAGCTGTTCAGATGTAAAACCCAGACGCCTCGCACAGAATTACAGTATTTCTCTTTTTTAAGAAAAAAAAAAAAACATCACAGAAAGGTTAGTGATCACAAAGGCACATTCTTGCCACGGATCTTAAAATATTGACTCTGTTACAGAAGTAGTTAAAGGGGAAGAAAAAACACCTCCTCCACCCTTCCCCTCTGCCCTCCCCCTGCCAAAGAATGCAGTTTATCCTACTTATTTAAAACCGTCCTTCTGCATTATCCAAGGAAACGCTTAAACCTTCGTGTGGACATCACAAATTAAAGCCTTAGCCGTATTCCCAAACCTACAGTAAATAAGAGCTCCTAAGAGCAATAAAACATGGCGTTTAAGCATTTGCAAGCCATTGTCATAGCACCGAGCTCTGATACCTTTGCAGACACAAAACCAGCCCCCCCAGCACGAGCATAGAAGCACTGGTCAGCAAGTCAATGCCTGCTATTCAACTTGTAGTCAGGCGTTTGAGTTCTGTGTCTTCCAGATCATATCACTGCTGCATTTCAGGGCCTAATAAAATGTGAAGAATGATATGTTCTCTTTCTAACCGCATCTGAAACTGCGTTATTTCCCTCTCCTCTTTTTTCACGCATTCTTACAAAAACTTCCTTTTTCACATACTTCTATAAGAAAACATCTCACTGCACCTCCTTCGGTTCCTATTTCTATTTTCGATTTTCACTGCGTGCTTCTGCTGCTGCCTCCCCCTCAAACCCACCGCTGGAAACTGGGGTAGTTTTAAAGCTCTCAAGGTCATTCCAGAAACAACAACAGAAAAATGTTGTTGCCTTAAAAAAAAAAAAAAAAGAAGAAGGAAAAAAAAAACACAAAAAACCTTGAAGCACACAAAACCCCCCAGACTAAACCCTTTTCAAATCCAAACGCCTTTCATCAGCAGATCAATAACACAGCATACAGATTTTTGTTCGCCACCACTTCAAAACTATTACGCTCCAATTCAGATACTTACAGGAGTCACAGCACGTTTGGGGGCGGCTCATTAGAGCCCAGGGCTCACCCTGCTGCAGGTTTCTGCGTGGGGAACAAACAAAAACCCCACACCCAGAACAGAAAGTCCGGTGGGTATCACGGAACAGAGTGAAATTCAACCCGCAGATATCCCAGAATTTTATCGTCCTCGCTTGGCAACGTCTTTTGTTGCTCCAGAAGTCAGTTGGAGCTTATTTATTTCTACCCTAAACTCACGATTCCCCTCGAAGATCGGTAAATCGGAGGGGAAGCGCGATGCCAAGACGTGGCTCAGCCTTCAGAGGAGGGAGGCAAACAACACAAAAAAACTGGCAGAACGGATCGATAAACTTTTCCTTCCCTCTCCCTCCCCACCCCACCCCCCCCGCCCCACGAGCCACTTACTACACAGCCTCCTTCCAGGCACATCTCGGCTCACAAAGGAGCTCAGCTCCTCCCGCGCCCCGCAGCCCCGGCTCGCTGCGGGGTTACGGGGGAACACCTGCACGGGGGGCCGGGAGGAGCGGGGCTGCGTGCGGGGTGAGCGGCTCGTTACCCGCTGCCGCTCCGCCAAGGGAGGGGCGAGGCCGCTCACCTGCCCCCCGCCCTTCCTCCTCCTCCTCCTCAGCCCCCCGGGGCCGGGACAGCGCTGCCGCTGGGCGCCCGCAGCCTCACACGCGCGGGCCCCGTCAGCCGCACGGCTCTCAGGTGCCGCCGCGTGAGGGGAAAGAGGAGGAACAGGGCGGGAGGGGGGGGGGGGGGGGGGGGGGGGGGTTGGGGTGCCGGGGCCCCGCTGGAAGCCGACCCTCAGACCTCCCTCACCTGTGCCTGAGCCGCCTCCCCGGCCGGCATCCTGAGGTGGGGCAGGAGGGAGGAGGGAAGCGAGGGCGGCCGCCCGCGGTGCCGCCGGAGCCCGGACTCGGCGACGCTGGCGCTCGGGGCACTGTTTGTAAACCGCTCCCGCCGCAGCTGTTGCTCGGGCAGCCCCCGCGGAACGCCCCGCCCCCCCCGCCGCCGCCGCCGCCGCCGTCAGCCCCGCCCCGCGCCTCGCTCCGGAACGCCCCCTGCCGGCGGGGCGGGCTGCGGCTCGGGGCCGTTGGGCCGGGGGCGTGCGGGGCGGCGCGGGCACGGCGGCCTTTGTATGGCGGAGATGGCGGCGTGCCGCGAGGCCGGGCGGCACCGGCGCGGAATGCGGGCCCGGGAGGAGCCGCCGCCGCCGCCGCTTTACACGTGTAAATCCGGCCGTAGGCCGCGGGAGCCTCATCTGTGCTCGCTGTGGGACCTCCAGAAGTGAAGCGGGCCAAGGGGGCCCAAAGAGCCTCTCAGTGGTGATAAATACATATCACGGCAATAAACCAAATATCACGGCAATAAACCAAATAAATACCACGGCATAAACGACGCTGCCGTACGTACATGTATGCAGCGCGCGGCGGACGCTGCATGTCGTGAGGGGACAAGGAGCAAATGGCGGCGTGCCGCTGCTGTGCTGGATGGGGCGGCTGGGAAAAGAGCCCTGAGCGGAACAAACAGCCGGGCTGCTGTGTGCTCTGTGCTGCTTCTGACCCACGCGAGCGCTCCGCTGCTCCGCTGCTCTGCTGCGCTGCTACTCCTATAACGGTGCAGTGCTAAACTGGGCCTAAGTGAACCTGGCGAAGAATAACAACATTTTTGCTATTCCAGTTGGAAACAAAGAGCTTTGATGACTTCAGCCCACGATGCTGTTTGGCAAAGTGCTTAATCCCTGCTAGACCTGAGGTTAGCACCTTCCTCCAAGGTGGGATATGCAGGAGGCGAGGTTTCCATGTGTCTGCTTTCCCCCAGAGGCACACCGAGACCTGTTCAAGTTGGTTTGGTTCATGTTAGTGAGCTCACACGGGTATCAAACCCAGCACGCCCCGATGGAGGACACTTCTCAAAGAAATACAACTAAAAGTAGGTGGAGTTTTACTTTTTTATCTTCCCCCCCACCCCAACTTCTCCCAGCCTAAAACGAACAACACTACTCTGGTTGAAATTGAGGTCACTCGTATGTCATACAAAGATTAATCAAAGAACTTTCCGAATGTGGCAATATACTCACCACACTATTCTGGAAGATGAAATATCTTTATTGGTACATTTGAATCTTGCATCACACCAACTTGAAATGGAATTCTTTTAATGAAAAGAAGACCACAACATATAAGGCCAAACTTTTAGAATTTCTCTGTCTGTGACCTTCAATTACTCATACAGGGAGATGATGTGCCCTTATACTAGTTTCCTGACGGTTAAAAAATACCTCTGTGAATCTGCTGTGCAAACTGAGACCGGGGCTTTGCCTTAGTCTGCTTCTGTACAGGTTTGAGGCATTAGGTTTTGGCCCTCCCACTGGTTGATACAGGAGGGAATTGTTGTAGTGGCTGTTGCACAATGAGCATTTTTAATTGATCTTTTTAGGTGTGATTTTTGCAGAACGATGGGTCTGAACAAGATGTCTGTGCACACATGCGAAATATTACACTTTATTGCAAGAGCTTCACATTTCTTTCTAAGTTGCTGCACATTAATGTGTACTATGTAACCAAACCTGATTCCACAAACACTCCCAGGGCGAAGCACAAGAGCAGCAACTTCAGTGGGACTTGCATGTGTGTTTCAGTATCGATTATTTTCCATTGGCAGCAAGGCAGAAAGAACAAAGCTGAATTTCAGTGAGGGTGGGTGTGAGTTACTAGTTTTTCTATACTTGGTGTTCTGAGTCATGTGACTCCTTAAAAGTCATGACTGCTAAAAGTGCAGATTTTATCATTTAAAAGTCCTTATATCGAAGACTTGAAACAAGTTCAGTGCCCAAAACCTTCAAACAAACAAACAAACAAACTCTTCTGCCTTTCCTTTTAACCTCCAACTCTGTCTCCTGCAGAGCTCTCTGAGTCACATTTTACAGTATTTGTTGTTCTCATGACATGCTAACACTCATTACTTTCCCCCCACCTTTCATTTTTCACCCCTTTTTGAAATAGTCTGCTGGTCCAGGTGAAGTATGCTGACCTCCTTAAAGCCACGGGGTGTTCCACTGGAGCCAGGACTCTGGGTGACTGTAAACATGATTGAACAGAGAACGCAGAAGCCGTGTGGTTTTTATCCACTGAGATATGATACCACCATGGAAAACATAAGAAGGTAAAAGGATTGTTTCAGGAAAAAAAAAAAGAGAGGCTCAGCATATCTCTAAACTTTTTTTTTTTTTTCCCCTCAAAATGCATCGTATAACATCACATCACATGACTGAACTGAAAACATCCAATTTATTTTTACAGATTAGCCACAATGACCCCCATAATTTATGCTCATGGCACTGGAGATGTTTGATATGAGACAAGGGCCAACTTGTAAAAATAAATCTTATATTTTATCCCTGAGTTTGTTTTGTGCTGGGGACCATTTGCTGCTTTTCTGGAGAATCTTCAGCACTTGGTATATTATGTATGGTGTAAAAAATTTGACAGCAGACACACAGGAAAGGCTGACAGACCTGTGTTTACTGTATTGCACTGTATGTTACTACACAGTCTGCAATATTAAACCCGACTCCAAACTAGACTTTGGAACCAGGCAGCAAGTCCAAAATTGTGATAATCTCCTCCGTAACAGTAGAAAAAAATAAAATAACATTGCTGAAAGTTGAAATGTTTAGTTTCAGTCCCAAAACTCCTAATGTACTTAAATTTGCATTTATGTTCTTTTGAATTACATTATGTAAATTTACATTCTTTAAAAAAAATTGTGCTAAAAGTCTTGTAAACTGGTTCAAGCCCTGCTCTACTGCACATGAGAAAACACTGGCTGTCAGAGAGAATGAAAACAGAGCTGACCAAGCAACAGGAAGCCTTTACCTAAAATTAAGTCTTTCGAGAGTTACCATGGGTGTTTGTTTAAAATAACTGATCTGAACAGCAAAGTATCCAGGCAATACCTGGGAGCAGGAGATCAGCCAAGCTTCGTTCTTTTGCACAGAGGCTCTCTCATTTTAGAATCACATGTAAGCAGCTATTAAATACGGACTGCAGTGTGCTTAGGGCACAAACGGGATTTTGGGGATCTGGGCTCTGTCCCAATGTGGCCACAGACTTTCTGTGTGATCTTGGGCAAGTTGTCTCACAAGGCACACAACAGCAGGCAGGTTAAAATAAAATAAAATAAAATAAAATAAAATAAAATAAAATAAATAATAATAATAATAATAATAAAAAAGCCCTGCTCAAGCAATCAAGCCATTATATGAAACTCTCCATATGCTGGCATGAATGGATAAATAAAGTAAATATGCAGTGTTTTTGCTTTTAAGGAGATAAGCTCAAAACCATACTCAGAGAGTAACTTAATGGCTCAAAGCTAGAGAACAAATTTCAGAAGTGTTTTGTAAGATGATTTTGTGCCGTGAGTTCGAATACAAAATTCGACAGTATTCATTTATGCACCACAATTTCTATTTGTAAAATCGGGATCATTTTACTTCTTTGCTTACAAAACTGTTCATAAATTGTTTGTGAGATATTCAGCTGAGAGTAGAAAAGAGACAGACTGATGAGAAAGCTTTATCAGTGTTCTGTGGCTTGTTTTTGAATTTCCCCTTCACACAAATTACGTCTTTCAGCATTATTTCAGCAACGACTAAAAGAAAATCCAATCGTGTCAGATGATTCTCATGTTTTTGCCTCTGCAGAAGCGCACACAGTGGTGTGTTTACAGGAAACGCCTGCTGCAGGGGCAGTTTGGTAGTTAGGCACGGTCTCAGATTTGACTAACATGCTCACATGATTAGGTTTACTAAATGAAGACACAGATGAGACAGTGATGAGAAAGCTGCAAGCAATCAGGTTCTTGCAACATCAGATAATCCATGGAGCGACTCTGTGCTGCAGCCATGCACAAGGCTCCCTCCCCCCCAAGAATGTGCCCTGCTCTTGCATTAGCAGCTATCTCCTCGGTGCAGATTCAGTTACCAGCCTCCCTCTGTCAGCAGCAGCAGCTTGGGGGGTTGTGGTTTTGTTCTCCCCCACCCCCCTGTGCATTTTAGGCCAAAGTACTGCATTCTTTAAAAATGCATTTGTATTCCTAAGGTTTTTTCACACAACTAAAATTTGTAGGTCTAGTTAACTTTACCAGCAGCAAATCTAACATAGAAGTGTTTATTTTTATAATGAGAAAGAAGCTGCAGATTTTTTTCTTCCAGTATTTTATACATCCTGTCTGTATAAACACATAGATTCAAGTCCTGTGGGGCACGCTGACAGTACAGCTATTAAAGATTTTCTATTTGACCTTGATTTTGTTTTCACTGAGTATGAACTTTAACAGACTTGAAGCATGACACGCCGTTTCTTTTCATTTATCACAAGCA